TTGTATACAACTTTGAACTGCACATATCTTCTCTTCGTGTCTACCGCACAACATTGCCGTACAGATCCATACAAAGCAGTGGATGATACATAAGGAATCGCAAACGTCATCTTTCTACCGCACCAACTCTGACAGTAGCACAGCGCAGCTAGGTACATAAGAAACATTCCTTCGTCCTGCGGTACCTTACGAGCGAATAAGGGAAGAAATAATCGAAGAAATGGAACGCGGATAAGTTAGTTAGTTTTGATTTATTATTTACACGGATCAATGTCATGGTCGGTTTAAAATGAATGAAACTAAATCTATATAGGGGAATTTACGTATTCTCGGCAACCTAAGCAGCGACCTTCTTTCTATAGCCTTTTTCTATATGGAACGCACACATATGCAGTATTGGTTTGTTTACAATCTTTTGCTGCCAGCTGCTCTAACAATTTCAATCGAAAGAATTGTCAAAAACTGTTTTGAAATGCTTTTACAAAGCTCCAATCTTCTCTAGTGAGAGCGAGTATTGTCGGCAACCAGTTTTTCTTCGGCAACCGTTCCATTTGAACTGCATGTAAATCTGCTGTTCTATTATCGGCAACTCGAAATCAGCTACAATTTGTAGTGCGTGTGTTTCATTTCAAGAAAACCCTACTAGATCGCTTTTTCTCAGTGGTAAAAATATAGTCAAATTGAAGCTGAAAGCATAAAGAATCGTTTGCATGCATTCAGCGAATTGTTTTCGTAAGAAAATCCAGTGAAAATAGTGTTTCAATTTGGGTTGCCGAAAATAGTCTGTCATGCCGAAGCCGTCAGTTCCCCTACAATCAATAAAACTCTGATAATAAAGTTATATGAATAGATAACTTCCTGGTATCTTCGGGGAAATTGTTAACTGTCCTCCTTTTGGTACAATGTGTCTTCCAGCGGGACACCGTAACATCCGTAAAAGTGGTAAATTCATGAAATTGGAGTTAGAGCTGCGCAGTTTTTAGCGGAAGCACTTATTGGTGAGTTTTAAGAAAAAATATGGGGTTTTGGTCCAAATATGTACCCTGGAGGGCTAAGGCTGGTCCATTAAAAGATCCGGAACATGCGTAAAAGTGGTCAATTAATTAAACTGTTTCTAGAGCTCCATTTTATTGCGAACACACTTGTTGATGTGTTTTTCGAATTAATTTCATATTGTGGCCATAATATTGATGATCACAGACTGGTCCTCTGGAAGATCCGGAACATCCGTAAAAGTTATTTACCTCTCCTAGAGCTCCATGTTTTTTTTTTGCGCAAGCACTTGTTGATGTGTTATCTCACTGAATTATATAATAATTATAATTATATAATAACATAATTGAGGCCAAATTATGCACACTGGAGACCACAAACAAGTTGTCCAGATGATCCGGATTATCCATAAAATGGCCAATCACGCTTGCTACAACGTATGAAAAATCCGTGAATTGGTGTCTTCGGGAGAGTTTTCATATATTTTTTTGGACAACTTTGCAGTGACCTTGGCCATCTGAACAACTTAGCAGTGAACAGTTATTTCTCAAAATGCCAAAATCTTGAGCTATGATACATGCACAAGCTCTTACGTACACTAGCGCAGTGTTAAATTTTACCGAAATCAGAACAGCTGAACGTTCTGTAAAACTATGACCTTCATTTTAAAGGCTATTGAATTTGAAAATAATGTCAAAACTTTTTAAACCTTGTTAAAATTATCAAATCTTGTCATTTTAGTCAAAGTAGCTGAAAAGCAATTGAATTGAATTGCATAAATTTTACTGAAAAGTTCAGCTGTTCAGATTTCGGTAAAAATTACCTCAGTCGGCGATAATTTCTAAAAGTGTTTTGTCCATCATTTGAAAGGACTTGGTTAGCTTAGCAACTATGTAGAAGACAGTATTTTCCAAGTAAGTCAGGATCTTGTGATAAAGCACATATACAATAGAGCCGCGTAACAAGAGCATTCGCAATTAACCTGTTCTTCATGTAGAAGGCCTTGTCCACCGGGAAAAAAAAAACATTGTTGAGGACTGTAAATAGCTCATACAAAATCTCATATATACACTAACGCCTTCTAGTGACTGAACTCTGAACTTAAATGTCCACCATCGGAAAGATCTTAGTCACCTGAAAATGTTTGCCGAACACAGTAACTTCCTATATCGCCGGGATCACGGGGTATTCCATTTTGGAACCAATTAAATCAAATTTCCTCATGATACGTGTTTTAAATTTACGGGATTCACTCGTGTAATCGAAAATAAAAACTCTAGAACAACGTACCGCGGACACGAGACGAGGCGCCCACTGTTGTGGCTACGGTGCGGCATCATACAACATGCCAAAAGATCATGTGGATGTAATGTGGCATAAGGCAAACCTCGACAAGCTTTTTTACCATGCTAGCAGATGCCACTCCGCCGCCATATCAGAAACTAACTTGACTAAAATCATGTTGACGTTCGCCACATGCAATGTTTCAGCATAATGCTTTGACACGCCACATCGCCGCCACAGTAGTGGGGCAGTGGGTGTCAGACATTAATCGAGGTTGCATGCGTGTTTTGTGGAATGAGAGGCCACATGCCACATCACCACAACAGTGGATGACGCCTTAACATCCCGACCTATAAAGAAAATCCAGTCAAGATCATGGGGGGTACTAGGGATTATGTTTTGTTGGAAATCCTCTGAAAAAGTTTTCAGGAATATAGTATTTCAATGGATTTACAATGGCTAGTATATATACGCAAAATTAGGAACCTGGCAATACAAAATCCCTCCCAATAACCCACGTAATTCGATGTGAAAAGTTAATGTTCACTTTATGCAACAGCTTTTGACCATCCATATTCAGTGTCATTACATGTTGCTGAATATGAACCATTCGCCAGTGTTATACTGCGATACGCAGATGTATCATGAACAGAAACTAACGCACACAATCCATGCCGAATGGTACACACGAATATAAAGATTCTTTCGATGATACCGTCAGTAGTAAATCGTTTGTGTGAACGTATTTGATCATCGATGCAGCAAGATTTATTTTTCTCTGTTTCTTTATGTGCCATGATTCGTCGTCTCGCCGATACAAGGAAATCAGTTTAGTTTACTGACACATGGGGGTCCAACGGTTGCGGAAATACACGTGAATTATTCAGTGAACAGTGAAAACTTCAAACACTGGCCATCAGTAATAATAACATTCCGATTGGTGCAAAACTGCACTAGATTAAGAAAGATTAAGTGCAGGTTGTGCTTAATAGGCCGGAAATGGGGTAGTTAACCCTATGGCAGCATTTGAAATTTTTGTAGAGGGAATATACAACATTTTTTTCCTTGATTTGTTTTCCGTCGATCTTGTTTTCCGTGCTGAGCACCAATGCTACCGACGCCAGGGAGGCAGCTCCCGCACCTGGACCCTACCTATCGACCCATCAACTCATGAACCGGGGACCAACGGCTTTACATCCCTTCCGAAGGAAGGCGTGATCAGAGATATTATGTCTCAGAACATCCCCGCCGCGCCGACTGGGATTGAACCCAGGCCTGCTGTGGTGAGAGGTAATCACGCTTACCACTACACCACCGGCGTCGGTTAATTTTCAACATTAATAACAAGAATAAATCGATTTTTGCTTAACTAAAAATCCATGACTCAACTACTTTTATTTCAAATGAAGTTGGCGCTTCTGGTCGTGGTTGATATATGTAGTAGATCATTTGATCTGAACTCCAGGACGATTTGGTGGACCTAGAACATCTAATATAGATGGAACTGGATCGTATACACTCTATAAATTAGCTTGGACATGTTTCGATGCTATTGACATTGTCTCAGTCGTAGTTGAACTTGTAGATTATTTTATGTGACCTCCAGGACGATTTGGAGATTCTAGAACATCTGATATACATAGAAAAGGGTACATAAATGATGGCGTAGTGACTTTATAAACCTTCGTGGCTATGTGTTGGTGCTAGGGCCATTGTTCCATTGTAAGGAATAATCTAAACTCACGGACGATTTGAAAAAATTAGAACATCTTAAACAATATTCCACTTTTGTAATTGATGCGCATATGCTCCATGAATATGTTTGGATATGTTTTGTTGCAAAGATCGATTCAGACGACTTAGAATATTTCATGGCTATGAGAATGGAACTGGAATGATAAATCTAGATATGAAAACTAGTGCCCAGATGATTTTAGTGATTTACCCTAGAATAAGCACTCCAAGGTAGTTTGGCCTAAGGCATAAAAAAAAATCTAGAAAAAAGTCGTTCCGAATGGGTTAAATCAAGTTTCTTAAAAAAAAATTCAGAGAAGGCAATCCAGGTTGCTAAAAAACTTTGATAATTTTGATTAGATGAGCCGTTTTTATGATGATTTTTTGAAAAATAGCGAGTACGCCATTTTGAAAAATGGTTGAATTTGGGCACAAACATGGTTCATTGCCCCTAGTGAACAATTATACGAGGTTTTATGTAATTCAGAGAGGGAAAAAATCAGCGTGGAACTGCTCTGCTGTTTACATCATGCTGATAACCATTTTTGTGAATGACACGCTCGCCCAGCTTTAGTCAATCAGCACTGTAAACCGATTATAATTTCAGAACTTTCCCGACAAATTGATGGCATTCGATCAAAACGGCTCGAAGCCGATACTACAGCCACCCTACTGGTTCGAGCATCACCGTCATCAGCTCCCAGCCAGAGTGCTGATAACGAAAAAACAACAATGATGTCTCTCTCTCTCTCTTTCCCTGTCTACAACCTTTCTCCGAAACGCATCCTCTCGTGCGAGAAAACGAGAGCGAACCAAATTTTCTAAAATCTCCACCCAGGAGCGGCGAGATGTTCCCGCACGCATAATTTCCCTTCCCAAAATCTGCTCATCCTCCCCTTCCATTTCTCCGAAGTTGGAATGCACAATCCGGAACGGGAATCCAGTTGGGCTTCAAATGTTTAGTTTGCGGAATTCCTTCGTGCGGTACGGTTCGCGAATCTCAGCTGGGTTCTACACCGCAGGAAGTCGCTTGCTTTCTGGATCCGTTGTCCCGTCCGTCAGTATAGGCGGTTTCCGGTTTTCCGGTCACTTGGTTTGGCCTGGTGTGGTGTGGTTGGAGTGACGATCGAAAACGGTTTGGTTTTAATCCCAACGGTTCAATCGGTGGTGTAATTAACGTCGACGGTTGCGGTCTGAAGTCTTCGGGTGGTGGGTGTGTGTGTGTGCGTCTGCTGTGGGAGATTGGGTTGGTTGGATTTCCCTGAGGGTTGTTCGTTAGAATCGTGTGGTGATTTTTTTCACGCGTGCAATGCGTAAATAGTTAGTGGGGGTTTGGGAAAGTGCAAGTGCAGTTTGAAGTTTCAGGGGAATCATCTCCTCTAGACAAATCGGATCGTTCGTCGATGGATTAAGCCGCAGTGATTCGGTTGAGTGGAATAAGTTTCATGTTTGTGCTCGCAAAAAAAGTTAAAGAACAACAGTTATCAATTTCTGGAGCCTCGGGAAGTTGAGCTAGTGCAACTGCCGGAAAACGACGTGATGATAGTTTATAATACGGATTAAGAGTATAGTGAGCCTCCGGGGGTGTGCTTTACAGGCGGAAAGCGCATAAGAAGCACTTGAAGAGGATACGTGAAAAAGCGATTTTCCGGTCTCTGAATAAGTAGTTCAAGTGTGCTCCCAGTCCCAGTGTCGGTGTGTATTCGGCTGTACGTGTGAGAAGCATTTTCGTTGGAATAGACGGGAGGAACCTCCCGCTTCCTCGCTTCCAGATCAAAGGAGGACAAGCGTTGCTCACTTGCCTTTGGAATGCTTAGCTTGGATTAACGCAGCAGCAGCAGCATCCGTTTGGTTGTCGTTTTGTACGGATTCGGTGTGTTTTTTTTTTTGCTTGGATCGTGAAGAAAAGAAGTCCAAAGTAGGAACAAAACCCCCAGGAGGCATTTGACTCCTCTCATCTTACGGTACGGCGTTTTCGGAATAGATTTCGGTCGTCCGTTGGTTCCAGAATAAGGCAGTGAAGCACTGTGTCAGTGGTGTGTTGGTGGCTCGTTTTGCCGCACTTGAGTGGGTGAGTATATCTCTTGTGGAGGTGATAATCTTGATCTTTGCTCTGGAGCATTTAAGAGGCCGACCGGGCGAGGATTAAGGAAGTGGAAGTTGCTATTTTCTGGAAGTAAAGGTCACGGTGGAAAGGCGAGAGCGAGAGTGAAAATGCACACATTTAGAAGCCGTCTTTAAATTTCCATGGGATCATTATAAAGCTTTTGAAATCCTTATCCTTGAAATGTTATTCCTAGCAGTTGTTTTCTTATCGCTTCTTTTAGATGATTACTCAAGCTGAACAGAGAACGGGGATGAGGTTCAACTTTTGTTTTACCGTGACTAAGGTTTGCAACAAATTCACAAAGCACAGTGGGATTCTTTTTTCCCAATGTTTTAGCGTTCTTCGAAGAAATTTCTTGAAATGTTATTCTGCATATTTTGAATTATACATATGATTTTTTTCCTTTATTAGTTTTCCATCGATCTTGTTTTTCGTGCTGAGCACCAATGCTACCGACGCCAGGGAGGCTTTACTACCCTACCCGAAGGAAGGCGTGATCAGAGATGTTAAGCCTCAGAGCATCCCGGTAATCACGCTTACCTCTACACCACTGGCGCCTCTGAACGACGTAGAATGTCAAGCGAATGCTTTATCAATGTAGTTCGCGATGACTTGAAGAATACTCCAAAGTCATTCGTCATTGTCGCTTTGGTAAACATCTAAAGAACAATGGAAAATCTTTGAAAAATTACCGAAAATGTAAAACCGGTATAAAAAACCGGTACAAAAAACGGTATTTAGGTATTCTAAAATAGTACGGTAATACCGGTAAAAACGGTTTCGGTAAAACCGGTTAATTAACCTTAGCCACGATGGTAATGATGGATTTTTAATATTTTAATTAACAGTAATAAAAAAAGTAATTTTGAGAAGTCCACAAAGGATTTCGGATATAGAGAACTGAATTTAACATTTGATCAACTTTCAAAAAATAGAATATTGAAGCTTATTTGAAAGATACTTTGAACTAGTACTTTGCTTTCTGACTGAATCTCGGGGGTTCGTGAGCATTCCTGACATTGCTGAAAATTACGATAGCATCATATTGCGAGGTTGCTAGTGTATTAGAATACTTTGTTGATGATTTATGAAATGATTTTTCATTAAATGATCACTGGAAATGCTTGTGCCAGTTTGAATATTTTACCGATCCGCGCAACCAGTTTGCGTGCATTTTACAAAACGATTTTTGGATATAACTCGAGCTTTCCATTGGCGTAACAACTGGTTTTTGAAATTTTGAAGTTGCTGTTTCAATGCAGGCACTACCTTCTCAGGACAGTGCAGCATATTTATCAGCATCGTTTCCAAATGCAGAAATTTTGCATTCAGTGTTTTTGCAGGACACTTCTGCAAAATTTCACACAGCTTTGCTCTTGACACCAGATTGGCAGAACCTGTAAGAATTTATTATAGCAAAAATGCTAGATTTTGGAAACTGGATTATAAATAGTCTTTTGTTCTGGTGTACGGCCATGTTCGATTAATCGCTTTCCTGAATATGGAAATTAAAATACAAATGCTTGTGCGTTACAGGTCTGGCTCGATTATCGGTAATTAATTTTTGACACTTCCATCACTGATTTTTAGGAAACGCAATACCGCAAAATAATACCACCATCAGAAAGGGAAGGAAAATGCATATCCATTGGTAGTGGTGGTATCATTTTGTGATTAAAGCAAGACAATCAATTGAGTAGTTGCTAATGAACAGCGCATTGAGTCTTGAGCGTCCGCTTTGCGATTTAATGGTCAATAGATTCGAAAAAGTATGATCTTTCATTTGGTTTCAAGTTTACTGCAAACTTTCACTAACTTGAGAGCATGAGTATGAGCATGATTAACCGCCCACGGTTGCTACTTTGTTATTGCCAGACCAGCTGTTATTACACAGAGAACCAATAGACGATGCAATCATCCTCAATGTGTAAAAATTGTGATCTCAAACTAGACTCTAGAGGAATGGGTAGGAATGTGTTGACGTGACACTCACTTTTATGGAAGCCGAGGAGTCCTCTGCACTTCCAAGAGGAATCACAGGGATGTTGGGTAAGAGGGTTGGGATTACATCAGGGTTCGTTTTGGTAAACGATAAGCTGAATTGATGTCCTAGCGATATATAACGCGAAGGAGCTTGGGATTGATCCCACGGTCTTCTGCTCAGTAAGCAAAATCGTTTTCCATTAGGCAGACGAGCTCCTTTTTAATCATCGAGTTGCTGTTATTACCATGTAGTCATGTTAACAAATAAAACAAATTGACGAATCTTGGATGTGGATGGGTTTGAGATTAGACTCTTGATGTTCTGCTCAGTAAGCAAAAACGGTTGCTCTAAGGCCACCGAGCCCCTCACATCACATTACACCCTTACTGAAGTTGTTATAACTATTCAAACCCGTCACCGACGACAGCGAAACTTTTTACAAAATACAGGATAAACAAGCGATCTTACCATACATTTTTAATATGAAAGGACCTGGGACCGCGTTTTTCTGCTCAGTAAGCAAGTCACTGTAACCAACGATCTTTCAAATCCGAAAACTAAAATCTACGAAAGAGTACGTAGGTCTTCACTAATAGCACATAACATATATGGAACTTGGTCATAAAAAATCGACCCCATTTAAGTGATTTCAAGTGGTATATCGATCTGTCAAACTGATTATACCAGCTGTAAATTAAGAAAGGAGATCAAGGGGGTAGTCAATTCTAATAAAATATTTCTAGCGTGGTTTATAATTCTATGTATTCTAAGCGCTCTTGAACTCATGTCTTCCCTAATAAACGAGCACCATACATGAACGATGCCACAAATCGTGTCACCGTGCCACATACTGTTGGGATGATTGTTAGTTAGGCACTCCTTATGGTTATCGTTTATGCGGGTTTGTATTGCCATAATAATTTACGGTCTTTATTTATAATTATATAGCTTCATTTATAATTATCGTTTGCATAAAAAAGGAATTTATTTTTGTAGTTTTTTAAGCGATGATCTGCCTCATAAAAAACGTAATTTCAAGCTGCTATATGTTAACTGTTTACAATTCAATTTTCAAAGCGATACGTATTGATTTTCTGTAATCATGACCAAAAATAAGAGAAACTCCAAGCGAATATTTGTTTATTGCTTTAAATTTGCGTGCGTAATTTTTTCCATTTTCTTTCTCTATGATAAACTGAGATTATGAGGAAAAATACGACCGCATAAATTTGGAGTTTGATGCATACAGTTTAAAGCAGCAACGTTTTGCAACAAGTGTCCTGGTTTATATATGAGTATTGTTAATCTTAAGAAGCTGTCAAAGTTCTACCACCTGCATATAAAAGAGCTGAATACTGAAAAAAACATAGTGTGCATTGAGAAATTGAAGTATATTTGCTGGCGATTCTTTGAAGCCTTGTTCATTTGATAGCTGTAGTAGAATTTCTTCTTCTTGGAATAAATACATAAAACAGACATAAATCTCTTGATGTTGTGGAAAATATGCAGTGTTTTGAGCTGACTGAAAAGGATGGCAAATGTTATCGAGTGCTTATCGATACCTGTAATACCCCTTTCTATGCATCTCAATTGCGTAAAATTGAATGTTTCTAAATCCTTTGATAAGCCCCCTGCTCCCTAGAGCTAGTCTAAAAAAGAATGGCCGCATTACCTTGATAATTAGCCTTTTCGGTCACTCTGTAACTCTTTACTCCTATGGTAAAATCCCATAAGAAAATGTCAGTCTGTGCTAGAAACCTTACCCTTTCACTCCAGTAAAAAATCTCATAAGATCCTGTTAATCTTTGCATGAAGAAGAGACGGTGGCTCGCTGGTACCATGGTGGAGTGAATAGGTAAGGCAAAATCCACTAGACTTCGGGATTTTAACATAGGAGTAGAGAGTTAAAATGCCACCGTCAACATCAATACTTACACGTTATTTCAAAACTACTCAAATTTGGGTAGAATCCTCCCAGATCGATCACAACTGAACCTACTCGAAAATGGGTAAACTATATTGAGAGTGACAAGCATGAGCAACATTGGCATGGATTGTTAACCTGTCACTCCCAACTCCCAACTGACTCCCAACTGACCCATTTTTTGATAGATTCAGACCGATCAGGTTGGATTTTACTCGAATTTGGGTAGTTTTCAAATAGCGTGTACTGAGCATGCAACCAAATCAAGCGTAACTGTTCAAATCAACGTATTTGATTTTGTAAACAATCACTTCAATCGACGATTTGTGGAAACTACTAGCTCACTCACAGAAACTAACAATACCAGCTAGATCAGGGAAAGACTCCCCTACGTGATGATGTTGTTTGTTTGCGTGGGTGAGTTAGTAGTTAAGACAAATCGTTGATTGAAGTGATTGTTTACAAAAACAGATACGTCGATTTGAATAGTTACGCTTGAAATATTAGATTTTCTTCCATAAGGGCCAATATCACAAACGTAAACACTGACTTTTCCACGAATTTCTTGAGAATGAAAACTCGCTCAAGTAAGCCACCATAGCTGGGTTACATGGATTGACTTTGAATTACAAGATATTTACGAAAGAAGCCATTGCTTACGTTTCCGTACATGATTGTAGTGCATCCACTTTGATGTGATATCAAAATTATTTTTTTGCTGTGTAGACTGATGCAAAATTTGAAATTTTTGCTCCACAGTGCTTAAACCATAGAGGTAACTCTAAGATCACTGGGTCCCGAAGAAAATCATTATTATTTTTGGCTCACTCAGTACCAGAACAACGGTCCCAAGCAGTCCCAAGCTATTTCACTCACCCCTGCATGTTCTGCATGAATCCACACACCCCTGATGTTATCTGTCAAACTTTCATAGCGAATCAAAACAAACATAGTGTAGTAATAGAATTTCAACTAGAATAGGGTACGTTAATCGTTTGCTTGGGACCAATAGGCTACTAAAGTGGTGAGCCAATTTAAAATCGTTAGTTTCGTATT